TCACTTATTGGATGGCTGAAAGCAGACGAGAAAAATCGGCGCTGAAGGTGGTTGCTTTCCACGAAAGAGAGAAGGCGAACTCAACTCTGCAGCCGGGACCTTCACCAGGGCACACTCCCCTGCTGCGGCACTTGGTACAAACTGACAAAAAACTATAAAAAAAAAATCTTTCGTTCGATCGATAGGAGACAATGCGCTTCTTAATAACTCTTCGTCTGCCTCCAACGGCCTTTGAACAGACGGCGTAGAAGGGAATATGTGGAAAGAGGCAAGAGTCGATGGGAAGTTTTTTTTATGGATATTGTTTTGTATGGATGGGTGAGGAAAAGGATGTCGAGAGAAATCAAGCGGAAGGAAGGAAGGAAGGAAGGAAGGAAGGAAGGAAGGAAGGAAGGAAGGAAGGAAAAGGTAAAAAGGAAAAAGAGGATGATTAAATATGATAATTATAATAAGATAAAACAAGAAAAGTAGAAGTGAAGATGGACAGAAGACAATTGGTGAAAGCCAGAGTAAGCAGTTTGATAAGGGATAGAAAAGAAAGACAGAACTGAAGCACCCCCACCCCCCGAAAAAAGGGATAAAAATAAGGAAGGAAATAAAAAGAATAGTGAACAAGAAATAAAATAAGTGAAGGGTAGAAAGGGAAACGTAAGGAAAAAGTAGGATAGAAGAAGAAGAAGAATAAAGAAGAAGAAGAATAAGAAGAAGAAGGAGGAAGGATAGGGAGCAATAAAAGAAAGAAAGAAAGAAAGAAAGAAAGAAAGAAAGAAAGAAAGAGAAAGTAAGGAAGAAAACGAAAAGAGGAAGGAAAGATGGAGAGAAAGAATACAAAGAAAAACAATAAAAGAAAGAAAGGAAAGAAGAAAATTACTGAAATATTTTAAGAGAAAAGTAAAGAAAAAAGAAGGATGTAAGAAGAAGAAGAAGAAGAAGAAAACGAAGGAACGAAGAAAGAAAGAAAGAAAAAGAAAGAAAGAAAGAAAGAAAGAAATAAAGAAAGAAAGAAAGAAAGGAAGGGAAAAGTAAAGAAAGAAAGAAAGAAAGAAAGAAAGAAAGAGAAAATAAGGAAAAAACGAAAAGAGGAAGGAAAGATAGGGAGAAAGAATGCAAAGAAAAAACAATAAAAGAAAGAAAGAAAGAAAGGAAAGAAGAAAATAACTGAAAGATTTTAAGAGAAAAGTAAAGAAAAAAGAAGGATGTAAGAAGAAGAAGAAGAAGAAAACGAAGGAACGAAGGAAAGAATGAAGGGTAGGGAACAAGAAAGAAAGAAAGAAAGAAAGAAAGAAAGAAAGAAAGAAAGAAAGAAAGAAAAAAAAAAGAAAAAAAAAATAAAGAAGTAAATGGAACATAGGAAGGAAAAACTAAGTAAAAAAGACTGATGGGAGAAGAACAGGAAGGAATGAAGCAAAAAGATGGAAAAAAAAGCGAATCAAATGAAGAAAGAAAATAGATGCAAAAAACAATAAATAATTGGATAGGAGATGGAAATAGAATCGGAGAAATGCTAGACAAAAAGATAATGAAGGAAGGAAAATGGCAGAATTAAAGAAGAAAGAGATATAGAATTGATTGATGGGATAGAATCGATGAAAAAAAAAAAGAATGGATAATTAGTAACAGCAATAAGAGTCATAGCGGTAAAAGAGATATTCAACATTTAACATTTGGCTCCAGCACACTGCTCTAATTTCTTTTTCTTTTTTTTTGCCTGTATTATGAATGTAAAATTGTTCAGTTCAGTATTAATACGAATACGACAACTATTACTAGGACAATCCGATGTTATTTGAGGAGTGGTAGCCCCTGTTCGGGTCCAAGCTATGAGCAAATAATGAACCTCCAAACAAAACTCAGCAGTACATTTTTCTAATAAAATGACCAACAATACATTATTATAGCAAAATGACAATCAATGCTAAAAAAATATAAAAATACATTTTTATAGTAAAATTACCAACAATATATTTGATGATCAATAAACTATATTTCTAAAAAAACGGGCGCAGAACAACTCAACACCGACGACTCAACACCGACGACTCAATACCGCCGACTGAGCTCCGGGACAACTCAGGACCGAGACAACATAACTTATTTTTTATAACCGAATAAAAGCAATTTATTAAGGATTAAAACCTTAAATAGTGAATATTTTTCTTCAAAGAAGGCATTTGAAAAGGCATTATGTCCAGTATAAACCAGTTTTTTTGGTTTTAATTATTTTTAATAAAGTAAGTAAAGAAATTTATTTTTTAATAAAGCAAATTGATATATAAAACATAATTCAATAAATTATCATTTGTTTTTAATTATTTTTTAATAAAGTAAATCGAAAAATGCAAAGCAAAATGAAGCAGTTTTTTGTTTTTATCAACATTCTAAAATATTTTTATAAAAAATAATCTCATCTGCTGGAGAAAGTGCTGTGTCTCTAAGCAGCAGGTAAGTGCCGAGGTGTCCCCACATGACGTAGTCGATCATGGGTCTCCACAACTTCCTGTTCCTTGTAGCTCCTAATAAATTTCGTTTTTCTTGTATTTCTCCTAAACTCTGTTTGGCCATCGATTTACTCAAACTTACCATGTTGTGCGTTGTTTTCCTTTGTCTTTCTTGCTCTTCAATCTGTCCTGTGAGTATCAGATTTTCCAAGCCCTCCTTCCTCATTACGTGCCCCAGAAATTTCAACTGTCTCTTCCTGGTGTTTCATTTTGGTTTCCTTTTTCTTTAAAACTATATCGTTGCTCACATGTTCGGTTCAGGGTATACTCAGCATCTTTCTGTAGAACAACATTTCTATTGGTTCATGTCTCTTCTTCATCCAGCACTCACTGCTATACGGGAGACAGATAACACGTAACAGTTTAGTACTCCTTTTCTGGTTTCTAACGAAGTTTTTTTTATTTCTTAGTACTCTGCTTAGCTTTTGGGATGTTTCCTTGGCTATCCCAATTGATGTAATGAATATGCATACACCTGGGTCCCCCCTCTCAGTAATATGATTGGCTGGTGTCAGCCATAAATACAGACTGATGTGGAGGTACAAAACGACACTTATTGGCTACGCCTATAGTCTCCGCCTATTGCCTACCACTACGACGAGGACCAGTCTATTATGGTTACCTGCTAGATTTGTCCTACTCAGTTACAGTAGTCCAAAACCACTTTGCTACTTCGAACAAATATATCCCTCTCCGGGACATATCACCAATACACCTTCGGATTTCAGTGTCACACTTTCTGTCCTCTGTTAAATTTGGAATTCGCACTTTGGGCTGATCTTTTTGCTAACAACTTTGCATTCTGTCTTCTACCAGTTGATGTTTAATTCTTTCTTCTCGCTTCCCTTCGCTATCTTCTATAGGAGTTTTTGTAGCTTTCTTTCTTCTGTGTCTGCTATCAATACTGTGTCATCTGCATACCATATGTTGTTAAGATTATGGGTGCATTCTCCTATCTTTTCTTCAAAGTACCAATATTCAGAGAACTTAGAATAATTATTTCTTTACTTACTTTAATGCACCATTTTACTTACAATTATTGCCGCGTGACGCAAACAAGTCAGTACATTATTTAAACAAAATAGCCGTAAATAATAACCAGTGCCTTTTTTATAGCCATCTGTCACTTATATTATTGCCGACTAAGACTTTTTACATTTACATAAGTAACGAAGTAATCGTTCTAAGTAATGCAGTTAATCGAAATAAGTGCTGCGTAAATTTGTTGCGTTTCTTCAAGTACTGTCAGCCACTTTAGCCATCTTTTTCTTTTCTTTTTTTAATCAATTCACCCCAAGTAAGGCGGTAATGTCACTAAGATGCAAGGGACTATTAAGAGAGAAAGGGAATGAAAAGGACTTTGGAGAGGAACCGGAAACACAATCCTAATCAATAAACAAGGGATAAACCTCTACTCCTGTTAAAAAAAAGGGTTGTCTTCTAGCAGTTGATATTTAATCTTTTCTTCTCGCTTCCCTTCACTATCTTTTATAGTAGTTTTTGTAGCTTTCTTTCTTGTGTCTGCTATCAACACTGTGTCATCTGCATACCTTATGTTGTGGCTGATTTTGGCCGCCAATAATGAACCCTTGTAGGACTTCTAGTTCTCTCACAATCGCCTCGCTGTATAGGTTGAATAAGTCCGGTGAGCCGACACATCCTTGTCGTACACCCAGTTTTTAGTTTTGCATATCTGCTGAACTCATTTTCTATCCGTATGCAGGTGGTTTGCTGGCTGTATAGATTCTTGATTATTCTGATATCCTTATCAAATCAAGGTTACTGAGCAGTTTCAATAGAGAGCACTTTATCGAACGCCTTTGCGTAATCTATAAAACATAGATACACGTTACCCGGTCGAAAATTCTAAAAGTCGGATTAGGGTACTTTAAAATCACGTGAGGAAAAAAATTCCTAGACATATCAGCATCTCAGAGCTACAAAAGACATAGATCATAGTCAGAAAAGATTTCAGAAAAGGGACCTGCCAACTAATCAACATGAATTTTCAACAGATTTCCAGTGTTTCTAACAAAAAAAAAAAAGTATTTAAAAAAATGTCAAATCATAAGAACATGCAAATCGAAGTAACAAAAATGTCGAAACTTAAAACTACGATTATCTCTGTTGTGATAGCGGCACTGGGTATGATAAACAACATTGACGATTCTAAAAATCTGAAAGTGGGGTGGGGGGCACTTCAGGGCCGAGATTTTTCTGCAGAGGAGGGCGGGGGCAAATTCAAGCAGCGTCTTTATTTTCATATGACAGCACTATCGTATACACAACTTAGAAATGAGTTTTACTAATAAGTATATGACTAAATTAAACGGAATAACTTTTCATTCATAGTAGCGGAGTTCTAATCTATTCTTGCCCTCTTTTACACACTCAGGCTGTTGGACCACAAAAGAGGGGTTAACTTCAAAACAAAATCAAAGGGTTAATACTAACGTCAATACTAGCAGAACAGTGTAATTTGGCTACTCTGAGTTTTCTCCTCTACAAAACTTAGAAAAATGAAAGGGGGCAACTGAGGGGCCAGCCAAAATTCGGTGAAGAGGGGGGTACATTGACTCCCCCTTCTGCCCCCCTCTAGATTCGCCACTGATAAACAAGGGTACAGAACGACGAAAGATTACTTTGTGAGGGATTGCACATATCATCCACAAAACCCTGTTGATCTAAGCAAAACGTCCCAAATATGCATAGATAACTCTCCGAGAGTGAGGTTTTTATTCACAGACCCCGGATGGGCCTTGGTAATTAGACACTTAAAATTACTCTCTAGCAAGATGATACCATACAACCACAACAACAACAACAACAACAATAATAATAATAATAATAATAATAATAATAATAATGGTGACTCGTTTCGCAATACATCCCTCCACTAGAGTAACTAACTAATCCACTCAAGACATCCTTATTCCACACACCCCTTTTATTATATATTCATGAAATTTCCTCACACCACCCACTTAATTTTGTTTTCGAATATTCTAGAAAAAAAAGAGTTTAATTACTGAACATTATAAACAAAATATTCCCCAAAATTCCAGAAACCTCTTTAATTCAAATCACCCCATCTATTTGAAACTCAAGTGTTGTATGTGTATATAAAAAAATATTCTTAAAGAATAACTGACATCCATCAAACATGGCACGTGGAACTAGAACAGTCTACCCCGGTGAGTGAAATAAAGGGTTCAGTTCGACATTCCAACCACCTGAAGAAGGCCGGAGCGTACAACGGCCGAAACGTTGTGATAAATATGGCGACAAAGATGAGGACAATAGTCCGAATAATGTAAATTATGTACATAATACCTCATCTTAGAAATATAGACAGACTTTTAAAGAATTATTAAAGAAAAAAAAATTCCAGGCAAGTTTTTTTATTCCAACCTCCCGTCTTTTAGAAATCCTTGTTTTTTTTTTTGTTTTTTTTTTTTTATTCTATGAGCCTTCTAGGAGATAGCGTTTCATTACTGAAAATTATGAAAAGAAAAATATTAAAAATAGCCTGCTATTCCGTTAATTTTTATCACCCCGTTTATTTGAAACTAAAGTTTAATGATTTGATGGAAAATATGGACAGTCTTGCAGCTGAATTGGTTAAGGCGTCATCTATGAAAGACGAGCTCGCAGGAGAAAGAAAGAGCAACGATGACATAGAAAAGAACAATAAAAATTTGATAAAACGTCCAAATTTCTAACAGATGAAAATAACTTGGTGTATTCCCGCTCCGCATCATCGGAATTTTCATTACACGCGAATAGTATCCATCTTTATTTTTATTTTTTTTATTTGTTTTCTGCCGGATTTAACTTTGGTAATTGTGTTGAGAGCTTGGAAAATCCGACTTAGAGATACAGGGCAGTCCCATTTTCCGAACGTGAATATCAGTGGCTTGTAAAGGGTGGTGGTGTGTGATACGATTGGGCGGAATAGCTGAACAACAAGAGGTGTAGTTCCTGAAGAGCATTTATAGCCTCGTTTTGATTATATGCACAGAATAGAAATAAAATAAAAAAAATGGCAGCTGTGCCATTCGCTTCTATTTTTTTCTTATCTTTCTTTTTCTTTACTTTTTTTCTTTTCTTTAACTCGTTGCGAAAATTGTGAGCTTTGGTTCTTTCGCCAAAGCCGAAGATGAAAAGAAATGGAAAGTGGTTGGATGGAAATATCAGAACAGCGAATATCTTGAGATGTCTTTGAAAGACAAAGAGGATTGACAAGTGAATAGGACTAAAAGAGGTCGAGGAGTTCGATCTGGAGATGACGAAACAAAGGAACAAAAGAAAAGACTCGTTAGAATGTTTTCGATCCAGGTTGTTCTTTCTCAGTGTTTCAATAAATAGTGCTTTTCTTTCTTTCTTTCTTTCTTTCTTTCTTTCTTTCTTTCTTGTTTCTTTTCTTAATTCTTCATCTTTCTTTTTACTTTCTTTTTGTTTCTTTTCCCTAATTTTTTCATCTTTTTTCTTCCTAATTCTTTCTTTCTTTCTTTCTTTCTTTCTTTTATTCTTTCTTTCTTTTTAGTGGCTGGTTTATTTCAAGCTCTTACTTTTCCTTCTTTTTCATTCATTTTCCGTCTTTCTTTTCCTTCTTTTCTCTTCCAGTCTTTCATTTTTCTTTATTTTCTTTCGTTCCTTTTTAGTCTTTCTTCTGACTTTTATTTTTCATTCTCTTCTTCTGTTTCGTTCTTTTTCATTCTTTTTTTTCCGTTTTATTTTCTATTTTTCTATCTATTTTTCTTTCAGACTTTATTTTCTCTTTCTTCTTTCTTTCTTTCTTTTCTTCCTTCTTTTCATTCATTCGTTTGTTTTTGCTAGTTATTAGATCTAGTTCGGCACAAAGTCAAATTCATTACGTACTTTCAAGATATTATGTTCAAGACTTGGTATTTATTTCCAAACAGCCTCATATCATATGAATTAATGCAAACGTGTAGCATAAGAAATGTACAGCAATGGAAATTGCATGCAAGACTAGTTTCTGAAATCAGCTGTGCTCTTCTGAGTATAATGCAGAGAGTAGAGTGCATAGTTGCCAATAAGAGGAGCGGCATAAAGTCCGAAATACGAGTTCAAGACAGATCAAGAAAAATATGACATCGAAATCCGAAGGCGCATTCAACTAGCAATAACTCATCTCAGCTAAATATTTAGAAAATGGAAATGTCATTAGAAACAAAGAAAATCAGTGCTGAACTGCGATGCAATATCAATCGTTTTATAAAACAGTGAACGCAAGAGATATGTGGTTCTGAAGAAGAAAGGCTGAGAATAGCATGGACGGAGCATGTATGCAATGAGGACGTTTTAAGGAAAATGGAAGCAAATAGGACACTTAGAATCAGAAAGTGACAAGCATCAGAGATGTGGTTCTACAGAAGAAGGCTGAGAATACCATGGACGGAGCATGTGAGCAATGAGGAAATTTTAAAGGAAAATGGAAACAAAAAGGACACATACTTAGAAAGCGAAAGAGACAAGCATCAGAGATGTGGTTCTATAGAAGAAGGCTGAGAATACTATGGACGGAGCATGTGCGCAATGAGGAAGTTTTAAGGCAAATGGAAACAAAAAGAACACTTGCACTTAAAATCAGAAAGAGAGAAGCATCAGAGATGTCGTTCTTCAGGAGAAAGCAGAGAATATCATGGGCAGAGCATGTGAGCAATGAGGAAGTTTTAAGGAAAAAGGAAACAAAAAGAACACTTCTAATTAGAATAGAAAAGCGACAGCTGAAATTTCAGCGATTATGAAAATATTCTATATATATATATATATATATATATATATATACAGACACGCACACACATATTTAATTTAAAAGAGAACTCAACATAAAGTAGACCTGAATATTATTTTTTTTAGGATATTAAAACAAAAACATGTTAAAAATCGCTACACAATGGCAATTATGTTTCAACACTGCAAATGTGTCTCCTCAGGCGATGCTAAACTACTGGTGAGTGAACAATTATTTTAATTTAAAAAGCAGAATGCTTCCTTTTTTTTTTCTCGAGAAAAAAATCGAATTAAAAATAGGCTTGTGTACTTTACTATAATTAAGCAATCAAATGTGACCTACGCTGAATTCAATCTCTCTTTTGTAATATCCTAAAATAAATAATATCTCTCCCCTCTCTCTCTCTCTCTCTCTCTCTCTCTATATATATATATATATATATATATATATATATATAGAAAAGTCAGGATGTGTGTGTGTGTGTGTGTGTGTGTGTGTGTGTGTAACGAATGCACGGCCGCAATTTTCGACGGATTTGCACCAAAATTTACATGCACATGCTCCAAGTTTGCGGGAAGACCAAGACCGACTTTGCATTTCCCAACTCGCATCGATAGTGGAAATAAGCGATTTTTCAGGCTTCTACGGCAGTTTTCATGTAGTTTGCGGCCATTTTCTACTGGTCAGAGTGAGAGACTATAGCTGGCTGCCATGAATAGGCAGCAAGATTCTATTGGCCAACGTGAGAGCCAACAGCTGACTGACACGAATGTTAACTAGCATACTAGCATGCAAAAAAAATCGATAGCTGCATTTGTCACAAGTGGGAAATATTTAAATCTGCATGGCACTTTACTCCAATTGACTCATTCGCTTGCTTAAACTCAACGTTGATTCTGATTCCGCAGAACTGGGTTGGGTGTGAAAAAGTATTTGTTGTTAACATTCTTTTTTCATTCGGTTTTTCCAGTAACGAGTCCTTTTTTAAAGCTGATCGTTTTGTGTTCATTTTGTTTAGTTCTTTTTTCGTAACAGATTTAATGTTTAGTATAGAGCTTAGAAAAAATTCGCAGTGTGAGATAGGCAAGAAGTAAGGCATGTAGCAACATCAGCACGGCAAAGGGCACTCCTTTAAAGGCAAGGAAGGACAAAAATATTTTAAGTCAAGTGATAGCGATTACTGTATGAGTTGTACGATTTTTGAATCAAGTACGGGCAACGCCGGCAATGCTGCTATATATATATATATATATATATATATATATATATATATATATATATATATATATATATATATCAGTGATAGCGATTGCTGTATGAGTCGTACGATTTTTGAATCAAAACCGGCAACAATGGGCCATGCTACTAGTATATATATATATATATATATATATATATATATATATATATATATATATATATATATATATACTTAGTTGTATTGATGTGAGTTTGTAACCTGCACATCAATACAACTAAATATACTAGTTCTATCTCTGATATTGAGCGCTTTCCAATAAGTACATGCATATAGAATATATAAGTAATATATATAGAAATTACGGTATCTTCAGGTGATTTCAGTCAATTGATTTTGAAACGCCTTATTTTATTTAATTAAAGAACGCTTTATTATTTAAAAATAAATAAATAAGTGCACACCATGAGGTGTGGTATAAGGTGAGGACGAATTGGAGGAAAGCAAGTGTATTGGAAATGCATCAGTAGGGGTTAAATGGAATATACATACTTTCTTTTCATCCCACTTCATATGAACTCAAAAGGAACTTTTTAATATGTAATCAAAAGGTTATAATTTCCGATCTCTCATTCAAAAGGTGTTTTTGTCTGGAAATCTTATTATAGTTAACTTCTCTTGTTGACAAAAGAAAAGTATGTATATTTCAAATACCCCCACCCCGCCACAGATTTCCAACCACTTGCTTTCCTACTTCTTCTTTCTTTTCTACCATATCTCATCTCGTGCGCTCATTTATTTATTTTTAAATAAGACATCGTTCATATTTAAAAAAAAAAAAAAATAATGATGCATTGGCAAATCTATTGGACGAAATCGCCTGAAGATACCGAAAGACTGAAACCAAAATGGCGGAATCGACTGATCTCCGAATTTTTTATACCTAAAAGCTCTACATGTTAAATTTTTATGTGTATTGACCACTTTAATACTACTGTTTCCTGGTCTAATTCAACTCTGACCATTAACTTTCTTCTTCTTATATATATATATATATATATGTATAATTTTGATATATCCAGAGATATATAAAAACTGAGTGCTAAAAATCCGTAATAGAGAGTTTGTAGATATAAACAGTGTGAACGTAGAAATCAACATTGCCGTTTGACTAAATGCCGTCGGCCAAATGTCCGTTCGACCAAATGTCCGTCCACGAATTGTCCAGCAGGACAGTGTACCAATTTTCCTACCAACAGACCTAGCAATTGTTGATTACAATGTCACAGTAAGGTCGCCTCATCGTTACATATCCTCCAGACAAAATAAATGAACGATTTGCAAATACGTTCCGTATTGGCTGTTGTGGTTTCATCTGCAACAAAATATAGTACGTATCTGTGACATAGAGTTTCAGAGCTGCACGGCGCGCTGTTTAGCTCACGTCGTTCTGTATTCATCTTGTATAATTATAAAGGCGCTTATTCAGTATCGCGGTTGGCCGGGTTTTTCCGTCTCCACTCGGCTTTTGCCGCTACTAACGGCGGATAAGATGAAGTCCGTGTTCCGCCGTCCGCTTTTTCCAACTTCTGCTTCGTTTCTTGCAACCTACACGATACTTCGGAACAGGCCGACACTTTGTCCTTTCAGATATAGTGACGTCAAAACGAATCTCAAGTTGTCAGTATTGAACAAACAGTCGCCACACCAACTCCACTTCCTCTGTTCCCAACTCCCGGCATCGATCTATAAAGACATATATATGTATATATGTTAAAGACAAAGAACAAAACAAACAGCAAACCGTTGCAAAATCACGACTAAAAGTTTCACGCGCCAAGAGATCTCCCCGCATTATTTACGATAGATTCCCAAACCGTACACTTCACCCAATATAAATGTAACCTTTATGCAAATGCGTATCCGAAACTGACCAATCGTCAACCAAGAAGCAAATGGAAAGAGAGGGGCTTATTAATATATCGAGATTTTGATAGTAATCCCTTCCTCTTGTTAAGGGACTTATATATATATATATATATATATATATATATATATATATATAAAATATGATTCCATCGCTACATAAAAGGTTCTCATGTTTCAAAACAAGAGCCGAAAACTTCAATATAATTATTTGAATTAAATTGATTTAAAGTACAAAAAAAAATTTCGCTTGAAGATGGAACAGAGCTTGGTACTTTAATTCAATTTAATTCAAATAATTATATTGAAGTTTTCGGCTCTTGTTTTGAAACATGAGAACTCTTATGTAGCGTGTTGGAATCATATTTTAAATAAATAATTATATTTATGCTCTACTTTTGTATCGAGCACTAGTTTTAAAAAAGAATAACAAAATACTAAAGAACTTTGGATTATTTACCTAACGAGTTCTTTCCTATTTTCTATATATTTTTACACACACACACACACACACACACACACACACACATATATATATATATATATATATATATATATATATATATATATATATATATATATATATATATTGTCATCTACAGATGACTGCTTCGCTTTATCACAGATCATATATATGTATAGACATCCAATTGTTTCAAGCCGGGAATGAAACTCGACTGATTCGGCAACAGTCAGAGATTTTCCCCCGAAGCCATCGAAAGAAAGACGAATTTTTGCATACTTATTCTGTGAATCAACACGCCAATGACCGGGAGAGCTCAATTCAGGGAGAGGGAAGAGCCTTGTAATGTTAGTAGTAATAGTCATTGTTTACAAATTCGCACTTATCTTCCAAGAGTGCACAACCGAATTTAATTTTTTCGAGTGCATATATATATATATATATATATATATATATATATATATATATATATATATCAAGAAAGATTAGGTAATATGGATTATGTCTAGAAGAGAAGTTGAGCATAATTATTTTTCTTGGTCAAGAACGTCTCCTCAATAGAAAATCCCGTGTAAACATGAAAATAAGCACTGTCTGCTTTTTTTATCTCCCTGTTAAACGGAATCTGGAACATGTTTCTATTTTTTACGATAT